ATTGACGCGCTCGAGCTGCTCAGCCGGTGTTGACACCACCAGGCTCTGCAGGGCCTCCATCCCGAAGATGCCTGCCATCTTCCGAACCGACTCGAACTGAGAGTCGTTCAAATGGGAGAAGTCGTTCCTATCCATGGCAACGAACTTCGGAGGTTCAGGTAGTCTACCCGCGATGGCGTGGATTGACTACAAGTACTACCAAGTGTGACGGGGTCACGCAGCACCTTGCGCAAGAGGAAGTTATCTTCCGAGAGTATACAAACTCTCAGTGAACGGCAGATCACAGGTCCCCTCTTTTATTAAAGAGAGCGAAGTGACCCAAATAAGGTAGATTGTAAACTGAGTATATTTATAGATAGATTAAGTTTGGGTTTAATACAAACTGTTAGTTACCTATAGAAATGCAATGTCATTTAACCAATGGTTGGCTTTGAACGACCTTGGTACCTTGTACCAAAAATCTCGGAGTATGACGTGTCATACTCCTGAAGTGTGAAGTGTCACACTCCATGTAACCAGGGTACACTTAGGGCTACGTACCCCGTTACAATTCAGATATAATGCTTGCGATGCCCTAAGGATGTATTATACGTGGTATTAATAGTGTATAACTTGCAGGGGGGTTTTGCGTGTACTTTGACGCAAATTAAAGCCTTTGAGCTAAAAAAATATCTTTTAATTTTAGTAGATCAAACCGTGTATGCTGTTATAAACTTACGTGATTTTGAGTGCTTCCGATTTGCAGCTCAAATATGGCAATGTACTCGGAATTCCAAGCTATAATTAGTTTGCTTGGAAGTAATTAAACTTTACTTGAAATTAAGGACAACTGCTTTAAGAAATTAGGTCTGGAGTGCAGACAACTGATCAAGTGGACTTCTCTTCGGTAGATTCCCAAATGGTACGTATGCGGAACTGATCGGATTAAAGATCAGGATTTGAGACCTGAATTATGAACAGACTGAAACCAAAGAAAAACACTTTTAAAGGGGAGAAGATGAAGCATTTACCGAGGTCTTCTGGTTGCTACACGGACATATCTACAACGTAGCACTAGTGAGTGTACTACCGTCCGCTGCGGGTGTAGCAACTGCCTCCGGTTCCTCCAGTGGAGGATCCACGTCGCTGTCAACGTCAGAGGTAATGTCCACAGCCTGTGGTAGCTGAATGACCTCGCGAGAAACACGGCGGGCTCGCCCACGAGGAACATCAGCAACGCGGCGTACGTACTCAGCTGATATAGCCTTGATCACCGTCACAAATGTCGCCATTGAAGGATGCGGGGTTGGGAAACGTGTATTACGCTCCCTGTTAAACCTCTCCAGGGGATTATTCGTTCGTGCGACCAACTCGTTGTTCATGCCGAATACGTTCCAGACATCGATGGTATACTGCTCCAGCCAAGTGCGGTTGAAATACCCCCAAAAATCGGCCCATTTTTCAGTAGAGTAGGTCACGCCAGCTTGAGCACAGCGCAACTTGATCTCACGCTTTACCCACTTAATACCTCGCTCGATGTGAGCAGGATCAATCACCGTCAGGGTGTCTAGGACACCACGTGTCATTGCAATCAGACACTCTTCCTCCGGAATAGCATAGCGCTTCATAGCCCGTCGGAGTGCTTGTTTCAGATGAAACAAGCACCCCAACACAATTGCGTTCGGAAACTGTGTTTGTAGTACGTCCAACAGTGGCGCTTCGAAGACACAAACAATTTCGGCCGGTTCGAGTTGCTGGCCCGTTGATTGTACGATAAAATGAATCATATCCCAGTAGGCGTCGCCAGTACGCGAGGTGCTCAGAATGTAGAACACCGGCACGAACACTCCAGAGGCTCGGTCGTGGACCATGAACACAACGCACTGTGCGTAACCCTGCGGGACACACCGAAAAGTGCCATCCACAAACAACGTGGTACCATGATAGCGTAGTAGCGCGACCAGAGATGGATGCGCCCACCCAAGCAAGCGGGAAGGCTTGTTCAAATCGTTGCGGTTAATGGTGACGTAGTGAAACTGGAAAAAGGAAAGCTCCTCGTCTAGTGCCAATGAAAGCGGTGGAATTTCAATAGAGCCGTGAACATTGCTAGAGTAATGCGCGCTTCTTGCTCGGTGTACTCGTCGGACAACTTGTTGCTCTGACAACCCACGAACAACGTTGGGATTGTCAGCTGAGTAGAACTGGCGTCGCAATTCTTCCCACACTTGGCGCACAGGCCAAGCGACGTGCTCAATCGCAAGAAGGTCGGCTTGAGCTTTCATCTGGTCCTCAACGTTGATGACGACGTTGGCAATGGCTTCAGTGCGGCATGTGTGCAGCTTTACAGCAGCATACGCCATCGATGCAATAGTAAACTCCAGCTTTCCTCTGCAACCTTGGCGAAACTTAGAGCATCTGTACACAATTTTCCTTGAGGACGACCATGCCTTGCAGTACTTATAGCCCTTGTAGAAGCATGTCGTCCGCTCACCACGTCGTGGCACAGACCCCACATCATTTGCGAGTTGCTGTCGAGCTTGCTCGAACAGCAACTCAGTGCTAACGACGTCCTCGACCGGCTCAGCTGGCTCCACTTCGCCATCCTCCGGCGCGCCCTCAGCCGGCTCAGCAGGCTCCACCTCGGCATCCACCGACGCGCCCTCGTTTGCCTCTCGATTCATCTTCTCCACTGACCAACGCACGAGCAGCCTCGAGGCTGAAGAAGTGCGTGAACTTACCAATCATTTTCAGATCCCATGTCAGATCTCCAGTAAGATAAATATCTGATCTAGAATCTGATCAGTTCCGTATACGTACCTTTTCGGAGCTAACCTTCTCTTCGACAAGCAACTCCTCTGCGGCTCCAGAGGTCGCTACAGGTTATGAGCCCTGACCTCTTCACATCCAGTGACCAGCCCCAAGACGGCCACAACTCTCTGTTCCTGCGTGGTATCGCAGTCGCAGTTGCTTACGCCGTCTTCCGCTGAACTTTGAATCAAAGTTTGATGGTGGTCTGCTTTTACAGAGCCGGAATCCACCACATCACCTTGTTTGGGCTGAACGAGAAGCTTTTGGTGGTATAATCGTGAGAGTGAGTACCGTACCGTAAACACAGCCAACCAGCGGTGTGAAGCTCACTTATGAATTTACTACTTCTAATATTCCAAGCTTCAAACATCCAGGAGACATGCGTTCAGCTATGTGTCAATTCGCCATACTAGTGCTGCTTGTTGCTATCGCCTTTAGCCGGGGCGGTATTATTCCTACACTCAGCGATGCAGAGAAGAGCAGGTCTTCGAACATGGATAACCTCTCCTCATTCCACGGTCAGCACAAAAGGGAAAATCATCGACCCCTGCGGGTCACCAAAGTTGCAGACAAAATCACGCCGCAGGATCTTGATCATGACGACACTGCTGAGCGTGTCCTCCACATCTCCAATTCTTTCGGCAAGATAATTGGGAAACTGTTCTACGACAAAACATGGTTCAAGGAAGGAAAAACACCAGAAGAAATGAGAGTTAAGCTGCGCGTCTTTACAGATCGCCGACACAGGAATCTCTATCACGGCTACGCTGACTATTGGTTTTAAGATGACAAAGCGTCAAACGCAATAGCGCGTTTCTAACGCTGTTGGTAGCTACTGAAGCATTGCGAGTTCCGGCGTTGCCAATAATGTAAGCTCCTTATTGATCATCAATACTCTGGATTTAAAAGCGAAGCCGCATGGTAGCGTGCTTACTGGTTACAAACGTTCCATGCCAGTTAACTTCGTTTTTACTCGCTTTTTTCCCTTTCACTACAAAGTTTTGAGATTTTTTAGGATTTACAGTCTCGCTTGCATACGGAAGTATTGTACTGGCAAGGTAAAGGATTTTAAGCACCACTTGTCCGAATCCAACTATAAAAGCTCTGTGTCTCCTCTTTAAAGAACCGTTTCTCGATGATTTGTAGGTGCAATCAGTGCCTACGTCAAGCCGATTTATTATTAAATCCGCGCAGAGACCTTTTAAATCTATATCGGGCTGAATGCCCGACGCATTGTCGGCATTCCGACGGAGAAAAGATTGGTTTCGCTTACATTTCGACTGAAGTTCTTGTGCCTGGCCCAAATCGGCTAAGCGTCAAGTGCTAAGCACGTACCGTATTTCACACGTGGCTTTCATCTGAGCCTTCTTATTTCACACGTGATTTCATCTACGCTAGACGTTAGCTAATAAGTTATTAGTAATAATGCACTGAGTGTCAATCTATCCGCTGTAGAAGTACACAATCTTATCAAAGCGAAAAAAATGTAATGTGTATTCATTAAACCTCTTCGAATCCTTCCGGTTCCGTCTCCGCCGCTAACGGACCAGCTACAGGAACACCCGTCAAATAAACCGGGCTGATTGTTTTAGCTATGTCCTCGACGCCAAGGTGTTCATCGGAGTGATTACCGCAACCGTAAATTGAGACATTTATGGTCGTTTTAAAGACTTTATGGTTGCGTTACCCAAATTCATAAATTACCTGCGAAACTAAAATCCAAAAAAAAACGCTTCCGTCTTAGGTACGTATCTGTTCTTTTAAGTTCGATTCG